TTTTTTTTGTGGAACCGGGAATTGAACTTAGGCCCTTGCGCTTGCCGGGGAAGCACTTATTCCACTGAGCCATCTCCCAGCCCCTATGTAATCCCAGCTCTTGAGAGACTGTAAACAGGCAGATCACTGAGTCCAGTCTAGTAGTGAGACCCTGTACACCCTGTAGACCCTTCCCTAAAAATACAAAAAAGAAAAAAAAAAAAGAATCATGACTAAGTTTTTTTTGGTTTCTTTTATTATTATTGTTTTTGTGGTACCAGGGATCAAACTCAGGACCTTGCACTTGCCAGGTAGGTTCTTTTTTTTTTTAGGAACCGGGGATTGAACTTAGGTCCTTGCACTTGCCAGGCAAGTGCTTATTCATCTGAGCCATCTTCCTGGTCCTGCTGGGTAGGTTCTTATGCCACTGAGCTATATCCCTGGCCCATGGCTAAGTTTTAGAAGTGAAATTATGTGGCTTTCACTTTATGGAAAGTTAATTTTCAGGCTTATAGGTGGTAGCTGATAACATTTTGATAGCTTTTTTTTTTTTTGCTCGGAATGCTTTCAGGGCAGGTTTGGCTGGCTTGAGTCGTGGGGATCAAACCACAGCATCCTGAGCCTGACTGCTTTGTTGAAGCAGCCACTTAAAGAACTGAGCTAAGGGGCAGGCCCCTTTGATAGCTTTTTAATAGAAGCCCCACTACATGCAAACTCAGTACTATGACATTGCTTTATATTGGGTTTCTAACTAGAGCTGGGTATTTAGAAAATAAGCCATGTTATCTGTCTCTCAAATTTATTTTCATGTCTTTACAGGGTCAGACAAGGGTGAAAATGAAGCAATGGAATCCTGTAAGTAAGTTTTATAAATACTTAAGGCAGCCTGGCTGGCACCCCAAAGGTTAAGCCCTAAATTGGAAGGCCTCTGTTCGCTGGCCTGAGGATGGTGCTCTGCCCTACGCACGTGAGCCCTGGGAGGTACCGGGCTGCTCTCCACCCTCGGCAGAGCCTCCTCACCAGCATTTGCTTTTTCCTCAGCTGGGAAGCGGGCACCCCAGTGCTACCCCAGTTCTGTCACTTCGGCCAGGACTGTGATGCTCTTCAACCTCGCCAGCGCATACTGCCTGCGGAGCGAGTATGACAAAGCCCGGAAGTGTCTGCATCAGGTGAAGCCGTGGGGAGGCTGCACCTTTCAGTGGTCGGCTGGCAGAGGCCTTGAGGGTCCTGGCCTTTGTGTTAAACACTGGAACGTTACTTTTCTGGGTTTGAAAATGTCCTTCAAGGGAAGCAACTGGTCAACATTGTAAATGAAGATAGACAGTGTTGAGTTTGTCCTGATGATTTTAAAAATTAAAATTCCAAAAGATTGAAAACCATCTAAGTAAGAGATCACTTGAGCTAGTCATGGTGATGCACCCTTGTTTGGTTTTTTTTTTTGTTTTGTTTTGTTTTGTTTTTTGCGGGAACCAAGGATTGAACTCAGGCCCTTGGGCTAGCCAGGCATGCGCTTATTCATCAGAGCTATCTCCTGGGCCCCCTGATGCACACTTGTAATCCCAGCTCTCCAGGAGGCTGAGACGGAAGGATCACTGCAAGTTTGAGGCCAGCCTGGGCTATACATAGGAAGTTCAAGGCCATCCTAAACTACATAGCAAGACCCTGTCTCAGAATACCAAACAAAAAAATACCAAACAATCAGATCAATCTACTTAAATAAATAATGGTGTGTCTACACAGTGGAATGCAGTGTAGTATAAATTCCATACTAAAATGAAAAGATAGGGCTGGTGAGATGGCTCAGTGGTCTAAAGCACCTACTTAGAACAAGCTTAGCAAAGCACAGGGACCGCGGTTCAATCCCCCAGCACCACATGCCAGCCAGCCCCGCCCCCTGGTTGGCTGAGCTGGCCACACACACACACATAAATAAATAAATAAAATTTTTTAAAAAGAAAAGGAAAGATAGGGGCCGGGGAGATGGCTCAGTAGAATAAATGCTTGCCTGGCAAGTGCAGGAGCCTGAGTTCAGTCCCTGGTTCCGCAAAAAATAAAATAAAATAAAATGAAAAGATACCCAAGACACACTGAGTGAAAAGAGCCAGGCAGGAACAAGTTTCTGTATAATCTTGCTTTGCTATGTATGTCTGGGGATTTTTGTTTTTTGTCTTTTGAAACAGGGTCTCACTGTGCAGTTCAAGCTGACCTTGAACTCACTTTGTACCTCAGGCTGGTCTTAAGCTTGTAATAATCCTGCTTCCTCAATCTCCCAAGTGCTGGGATTGCAGGTGTGCACCACTACTCCTGGCCCTGTATGTAATACAGGCTGGTCTTGAATTTGTGGCAGTCCTCCTGCCTCAGTCTCCTGACTACTGGGATTATGTGCATACCCTACCATACCCATCATGTAATCCTGTTTTTGCATAGATTGCTGAAAGGGTGAGCTAACAGCCGCAATATTAGTTAGGGTGAACAGGATAACACCTGTCAGAGGTGAGGGTTCAGAGAGCCAAGATTAGAGGGAGTCCAACATAGTAAAGAGGATGTTGGCAGTGTGTGACTAGAGTAAACCTCTACATTTACTCCTGAAACAGTGCTCCATCAGGCCTCAAGGAAGCTTCTGATCAGACTTGTGTAGGCACCTGTTCATCCCTGGAAAAAGCATGAACTCATTTCTAGTCATTTTCCATCGACTTCACATGATTGGAAGGGTCTGATTCCTCCAAGGGACGTTATCCAGCAGATCCTTTAGAGCACTTATTTTCCTGCTAAGCCATGGTGACCAGGCTAAGCAGACATGATACATCATGGCCCCGTGGACTTAAAATTTTTGATATCTTCTTGAAGAGGAATTGCAAGGTCAAACAGTACGCAGAAACTGAGAATGTAGGCAGTTTGTGCCAGGTGGTATATTTACCAGCAACACATGAGAGACCTCACATTCTGTATGCTGTCAGAGTAACTGCAACTGAAATTCAACCTGCTCTCGGGAAATACAGTGGCTTCCAGAAAATTCCTGCCTACATAGGTGACCTTGATGTGCCTAAAGTTGAGGACGGTTGCCAGACATGGTGGAAGCATTTTGGAGGCTGAGGCAGGATCACCATAGTTCAAAGTCAGCCTGAACTACATAGTGAAACCCTGTCTCAAAAAAAAAAAAAAAGAAAAAGAAAAGGCGATGATGCTGTACTATGGAAAAAACTACAAATGGCATTTAGTCAACTTAGTGGCATCTAAGTGAGCAATTCTGATCTGTCCCAAGTCAGCAAGGTTACGTGACATACTTGTAGGGAAACACACTTTGATATTATCTAGGAATTGAGTGCAAGAGTAAAAATACTCCACTGTTCTCAGTGGAAAGATGAGGGTTTAATAGCCTCAGTAGGCCCCGCAGCGAATGTTAACTTGCCACCTAAGTCCAGTGTGAGCCAGCTCCGTACAGTGCAGCTCAGGTTCTTCTGCAGCAGGTGGCTACTGCTGCTCTCAGGCAGGGAGAGAAGGATGGGGGCAGGGCTTGCCTGGGGCCCAAGGAGCTTTTGTTTTGGTCCCTTGGTTTTTAGGTTAATCCAGTAGCTGGTCCTTTGTTAATTGGGAGGCCCACCCTGCTAGGCAGGCAGAGCAGTGAGTGGAGACCTGAAGTAGATGTCTCCAGGGCTGTTGCCACCACTAACCATTCCTTAGAGCCAGCTAGCAAAACTTGTTGCCTTATACTCTTGTGTTCTAGAAAAAGCTGCATACTATAGTCAGTGCAGCGAACAGTACACGACCTGTGTTAGCCAGTCACTTTGAGGGGGAAAAAGAGATTTTGTGTGGGGTTTTTTTTGTTGTTGTTTTTTTGAGACATAGCCTTGCTTTGCAGTACAGTCTAGCCTCAAACTTACTATGTAGGCCAAGTGGCCTCAAACTTAAGGCAGTCTTTCTCCCTCAGCCTCCTGAGTGCTAGAATTACAGGCATTTACCACTGTGCTTAAAAAAGATTTTAATACCCACAAAGTGCTCTTATGATTTTTTTTTAATTTTATTTATTTGTGTGTGTGTGTGTGTGTGTGTGTGTGTGGCCAGCTCAGTCCACCAGGGGGCGGGGCTGGCTGGCATGTGGGGCTGGGGGATTGAACCGCGGTCCCTGAGCTTTGCTAAGCTTGTTCTAAGTAGGTGCTTTAGACCACTGAGCCATCTCACCAACCCCGATGCTTTTTATCTTATGAAGCCAGAGCTGCCTTTCCTTGGTATTAGAGCAGAGAAAAAATTCTGCCTCTTAGCTCAGATATAAGCTGAGTCTAAACCAGTAAGTATTTATTTGACTAAACTGTATTATATATACAAGTGGGAACATTAGCCAGGTGGGAACAGGACACACCCCTGTGATCCCAGCATGCTGCCAGGCTGAGGCAGAAGGATCCCAAGTTTGTGCCTAGTTTGGGCAATTTAGCAAGAGTCTGTCTCAAAATAAACAGAACTAAAGATGTCGCTTGGTGGCAGAACACTTGTCAAGCATGTATGAGGTCCTAGGTTCAGTACTAGTACTGCACCCCCCCCCAAAAAAAAAAAAAAAAAAAAAACAATGCGATTCAGTCAGGCATGGTTGCACACACCTGTAATCCCAGCACTTGGGGAGGCTGAGACAGAAGGATGCTTGTGAGTTCACGGTTAGCCTGGGCTACAAAGTGAGTTCAAGGCCAACCTGAACTGCATAGTGAAAACCTCTGTCAAAAAGGGGGGGGGGAACCTAACTCAGTATGGATTAGTCCAGATGAAGTCAATGTTAAACCATGTAACTAGAAATGGTGTTATTTTGGGTTGGAGGTGGGGGATGGTTTGGGGTTTTTTTTGGTCATTACTTGGAGTTTGGGGCCGGGGAGATAGCTCAGTAGAATAAGTGCTTGCCTGGAAAGCGCAAGGGCCTGAGTCCAATCCCCGGTTTCGCAAAAAAAAAAAAAAAAAAAAACATTACTTGGAGTTTGTATCTTAAGCTGCTGGGTTTCATGAGTGTCTTCTGTTTGCAAGGCGGCTTCCATGATTCACCCGAAGGAGGTCCCCCCTGAGGCCATCTTGTTAGCTGTCTACCTGGAGCTGCAGAACGGTGCGTCATGCTCTCTGGAGAGCAGTGTGTGTCCTTTCAAGGAGGCCAGAATTTTTGTTATCTGCTTTTTGTCTTCAAAATCAAAACTTTTATCTTCTTCCCAGACAGACCAGGAGTGTCAAATACAGGCAGGCTTCACAAAAAGAAACCCAAGAGGGACCAGGGAGATGGCTCAGTAGAATAAGCGCTTGCCTGGCAAGTGCATGGGTCTGAGTTCAATCCCTGGTTCTGAAAAAAAAAAAAAAAAAGAAAAGAAAAAAGAAACCCAAGAGAGAGGGAGGGGGCCTGAGAAGATGGCTCAGTAGAATAAGCGCTTGCCTGGCAAGCGCAAGAGCCTGAGTTCAATCCCTGGTTCCACAAGAAAAAAAAAGGAGGGGTAGCTTTCCCTTGTTAAGGGGTTGGAATGCACCCCAGTGGAAAGCACTTAAAAAACTTTGAAGACATTCCACTGTCCAGGCCACCCCTCGATCACCTAAATCAGACCGTCTAGGGCTGGGGCCTCAGAGCCAGCACTGCAAAAACCACCTCTTTTCTTCGGTCTCCTGACACCTACTTTGTTTGTGTAGTGTCCGGTGCTTGTTTATTAACAGAAGTGTCTTTGTAGGTAATACGCAGTTGGCCTTGCAGATCATCAAAAGGAATCAGCTGCTCCCAGCGGTGAAAGCACACTCAGAAGTGCGGAAGAAGCCCGTGTTCCAGCCTGTCCACCCGATTCAGCCCATCCAGGTGCCAGCATTCACCGCAGTGCAGAGAAAGTGATGCTTTGCTTTCAAGAAAACCCCTGCCTAGGACCCAGGGCAACACTTACCTTGTTAGTTATATCACAGCAAATGAATAAAAGACACGTGCTGAAGAGTGCCAATTGTGAAGATGCTGTTTTGAGACAGTTCTACTCCTGACTTTTTGTTGTTTTTTGGTAGTTTTTTTGGTGCTGGGAATCAAACTCGGGACCTCACACTTGTCAGGCAGGTGCTTATGTCCCTGATCCATCTCCCTTACTTTTTTTCAAGGTACTTACTTAAAATTAAAGATTCACAACTTCATTTTTAGTTTTGTCCTTTAAGCTGAGGCAAACTATTTTGAGTGATCATGCGATGTATCTGTGTCATAGGCAGTTAAAACTATTCAGAACAATCTTGCATTCTTGCTCATGTACATCCCTTTATGCATAAGACATTTTAGCCTCACAGACTTGTCAAAGTCCTAACGGTTTCAGCATTGCTGAAAAGTCCCCAAGTCTCTTCTGAGATCTAAGGCAAACTCAGCTGTGAGCCCCTGTACATAGGACAAGTTAAACACTTCCAATATTCAGTGGCACAAAATAAACATTACATTCCAAAAGGTACAAGGGGATACAAAGCACTGGGACCAAAGCAAGTCCAAAATCAGTAGGGCAAACATTAAGTCCTGTAGTTCCATGTTCAACACCCCAGGCAGTCTGGCAAATTGTGAGCTCCATGTGGCTCTGCCTCTGTGGCACTTCTGGTGGTTGTAGCTCCCATGGCTTCTCTCTTAGGCCTGTTTTGCTCTCCTTGCCATTTTCCGTAGATGATCCATATCCCTGGTTTTCCAAACTTCTGGGTTCACGGTACCTTTGTTTTTTTTTTTTTAATATTTATTTATTTTTATTTATTACATTTATTTATTGTGTGTGTGTGTGTGTGGCCAGCTCAGCCCACCAGGGGGCGGGGCTGGCTGGCATGTGGCGCTGGGGGATCGAACCGAGGTCCCTGTGCTTTGCCAAGCTTGTTTCAAGTAGGTGCTTTAGACCACTGAGCCATCTCTCCAGCCCCTTCACTGTACCTTTGGCTTCACACCCACCTTTATACACTTCCCTCTCAAGTGTACACTACCTAACCTCCCTGGCTTTCTTCTAGGTGGAAGCCTTATTCTCAGAGCTCTTGCATTCTGCATGCACCTAAAACCAGCTCCATGTGGATGATGCCAAGGTCCACTGCCAGCTGGAACAGTAGCCAGGCTTTCTTCTCTTGGCTCTAGGGGTCAAGTGCCTGAATCACTGAGCACTTTGAACTTGATTCTTTTTTTTTTTTTTTTTTTTTGGAAGGGTCTACAGGGTGTTCAGAGTCTCACTGCTAGATAGATCGGACTTGTAGTGATCCGCCTGTTTACAGCCTCCCAAGAGCTGGGATTACATGATCTTGATTCTGAAGAACAAATTCTCTAACAGTGCTATCATGGAACCTTGTATGGCTATGGCCACTTTGGAACTTGGTATGGAACATGGTGTTCTGCAGCATTCTCCTCAAAGCAAAATCACCTTTATAATTTTAAGGCTACAAAAGGTGGAGATTCAGGCTGGGGAGCTGGCTCAGTGGAATAAGCGCTTCCCTGGCAAGTGCAAGGGCCTGAGTTCAATCCCTGGTTCTGCCAAAAAAAAAAAAAAAAAGTGGAGATTCACTGCTTCTTATGCCCTCAGTCCATCTTTGATACTCTGTTCCTTCTCAGCAATCAAGATCTACTCAGTTCTGTAGTTCACAGCTTTACTGGAGTTTTCTTTATGGCCAAACTCACATTTTAAACCATGCTGCTGATCTCTTCGTTTTTGATTCGCAACATAAATTTGGCTAAAAGCCCCCACCAGTAGTGATGCCACCATCTCAACATTTGACTGCCCTGGAATTTCTTCTACCAATTAATTAATCTGCTACCCTGTCTCAGTCCCCCCCCACCCCCCGGGATTGAACTCAGGCCCTTGCACTTGCCAGGGAAGCACTTATTCCACTAAGCCATCTCCCTGGCCCCTACTTTTCTCTTGCTGGGATAAATACAAAAGGAAGAAAGGAATGGTTTATTTAGCTCCACACTCAGCTGGCTCCAAGGCAGAGCAACACATGGCAGAGAATAAACTTTTATGGCAGTAGCAAAGAACAAGAGAGGAAGGGAGAGGCACCAGTTCAGGCAGCTTGCTAGCAACTCATCCATACCCACAGTAATCACAAACTCCAGAAGCTGCCCCAAGACTGCATGAGGCTTTGGGGGGACACCTATAACAAGTCATAATACACCCTTAATCTTAGTCTCAGGCAAAGTGTCTGGATGTGAGCAAAATGCAGATAAACCTTTTGCCAAGCCATAACATACATTGTCTGGAGTCCAACAGCCAATAAAGTCCTTTCCAACAGAAACCTCCCAAACCTGGCCTTTACTGGCAGGATTTCTGTCAGCTTCTGGTATTCTGAGCTCAGAATCTCCCTTACAGAACAGCCAGAGGCATTCCAGTGCTACTGTTTCACTCAACATCTGTGAATTTTTCCAAACTTCCCACAAGCAATTGCCAAAGGTTTTTTTTTTTTTTTTTTTTTTTTTTTTCAGACTGGGGATTGAACTCAGGCCCTACTGAGCCATCTCCCCGGTCTCTTGAACCACATGGTCATGTATAGTCACAGTAGTAATCCTGCTCCTAGCACCAAATTCTGTCTGGTTATGTTTCATTGCTGAGACAAAACATCTGACTCCCAGAATTAAGGGAAAAAAGGTTTATTTAGCTCACAATTTGTGGAGGTTTCAGTCCACTGGCTTCAACACAGCGGCATATGGCAGAGGGCAACAGTTCATGGTGGCAGAAAACAGCAAAAGCAAAAAGAGCAAGCCTCTTTCCCTACCTTATATTGTCTGCAGGCTGCCCACCCCAGGGTGTGTATATCACTCAACATCTCATAATCCCAGCATTGGACCATGAATCAATTAAAAACTCCAGAAGCCCTCATGACTACATGACACTTTGTGCGGACATCAAGACACAAACTGTAACAGTTCTCAAATCTCACAAGAGGAGTGAGTGGGTAGCATGTGACTTGTCCGGAACTGCATCTGAACTATTTAAACAATTCAGAGAGCTGGGCATGCCAGGGAGATGGCTCAGTAGAATAAGCACTTCCCTGGCAGACACAAGGGCCTGAGTTCAAACCCTGGTTCCGCAAAAAAACCCACAAAAAAACAGAGCTGGGCATATGATGGCCCATGCCTGTGATGCCACTACTCAAGAAACTGAAGCAAGAGGGTCACTTTGAGTTTAAGGCCAACTTGAAATAGAGTGAGACTCTGTCTCAACCTGCCCTCCAAAAAATCCCAAAGACAAAAAATTCAGGTAAGAATACATACTGGGGGAGGGGCCGGGGAGATGGCTCAGTAGAATAATTGCTTCCCTGGCAAGTGAAAGGGTCTGAGTTCAATTCCTGGTTCCAAAAAAATACATACTAAACTCTTTTTTTTTTTTTCATTTATTGGTTTATTTATTTTGTGTGTGTATGGCCAGCTCAGCCCACCAGGGGGCGGGGCTGGCTGGCATGTGGTGCTGGGGGATTGAACTGCAGTCCCTGTGCTTAGCTTAGCTTAGCTTGTTCTAAGTAGGTGCTAGACCACTGAGCCATCTCACCAGCCCCCATACTAAACTCTTAACATAACTAGACATCATCTACAAACTGAGAGGAGAAGAGCTGCAGATATAGCTCAATGGCGTAAGCACCTGCCTGGCAAGTGTAAGGTCCTGAGTTCAATCCCCAGTACCAGGAAAAAAAAAAAAAAAAATGAGGGCCAGGGAGATGGCTCAGTGGAATAAGTGCTTCCCTGGCAAGCACAAGGGTCTGAGTTCAATCCCCGGTTCCGCCCCCCCCCCAAAAAAAAGAGAATCTCTCCTTTGAGGGGGGGCTTGCTTTTTGTAGGTTTCTGTTTTGAGACAGTCACTTGTGCAGTTCAGACTGGCCTCAAACTGGCATCAATCCTGCCTCAGACTCCTGCATGCTGGGATAACAAGTAGGCACCACCATGCCTGGTAAATTTCTCCATTTAAGCATGGATTGATGTACACAGGGTGTCCATGGCTCTTTAATACAGTTGTGGGTGTGTTTGTGCAGTACTGAGGATTTCTTTTTTTTTTTTTTTTTTTTTTT